CGTATTATTGCTTTGTACAAGCTGTTTTAATTTACTGGAAACAGTCGAGCAAATATCAGGTATTGTTGAACGAGAACGCGTTTTTCTCTTGGTACGTTCTATCAGTTACAGCAGAAATATTTTTATGACAGATATGATGGAAGCGAGCAAAAATAAATGACGTGCCGTTCCGCGCCGCACCTTATATTCTACAGCTCGAAACGAGAAGGGAAACAAAATGTTTCTTTTCGTTTCGTTTGTTACCGATCTATTCGGTTTAATTAAACTTTCAATTTCTGCACCTGTGGTGTGCTTTCGTTTCGATCCTTCCGTTTCGATCGCACGTTCGAAGCAATTAAACAATCGACATCAAATTTCCATTCAGAACATCCGGAAAAACACTTTATTATCAGCGTCGAATTAAACGAACTGGCGTTGTTACGATTATCCAATTATCCGTTCATTTTCTACTTTAGTATCAGTCGCTTTATGATGTATTCAGGTTTCACGCAACTTGACTTAACGTTGAGTATCCTTATTCAGAGGTTAACGAATCTATTAGGTTGTCCGAAAAGTTTCTTTCGCTTTATGAGGAAATAATAGACGCACAACGTTTTTTGTTTTCTATTATTTTGTCGAATTACCTACGATCCATTTTGTTCCGTTGAGATAAACACCACGATGTTTCACAGACTTGGTTTCACGTTTGTACGAAGGTGTACTGTTGTAAAAAACACGTTTGCGAATGAAAGATACTTTTCGGGCAATCTAATAGAATACGAGATACTAAGCGTCGAGAACCAATATCACGAAAATAATACTAACGATCATAGTGTCAAATGATAACAGATACCGTACGTATAGCGAGAGTAAAAAATGAGTATACACTTCGAAGGCGTGAAATTTATTAAAAAATTCTTACGCGTATGTTGCATAAATTGAAAATTCATTGAGAAGCTGTAAAGTATGAAAATAAAGTAGAAATATAAATTAACAGTAAAATAGCATAACGCAGTAATAGTAAAAGATCTTCTTTAAACATCGCCGAAAACATTTTCTTCTGCTGCCACCACTTTTCGAAATATTTGCAACGATAGATTCAAATTCTGTAAGCGGTAAATCAGAATGTTCCAAATGAAACTTCGCAAGCATCTAATCCATTCAGCTGATCTATCTAGGCCAAGAACGCAGATTTTAAGAACCCAGAACAAATCTTGCGTTGTAACGTAGACCGCCGTGGGAGTTGCGTGAACGTAATTCTCGCGAATTATATACCTCGGTCGTTTGTACGAGTACATATTTATCGGTACACGCGAGAGGATGCGAAAAGTGCTCTTTCTTTGTACGCACAATTTTTAAAACTACCTACGAAGCTCTTACGGTCTCGTAAACAAGCACAGTTATCTCACGGTTGCCTCTCTAATTTTGTCTCGCTACGTGTATGTGTACAAGCGAACCAAGCCACTGTGTGTCGCAGCTTGCGAGCGAGTATGCAGCTTGCAGAGCGACTTTATTGTTTATCGTGGAGTCTACGACGAGGGAGGGTCGCGCAATGATGGCTGTTCAGTGTTCTCCTTCTATCGCTTTTCTCCGCGTTCGTTCCCAATGCTGGAAATTGAAGAGGACGCGCTGCAAACGCATCCTCGATCCCAGGGAATTAGCTTTCACCAAGTGTTTTTGAAAGTCTCGCCAGAGAGAAGACCGTCCGTGTTTGCCATCTATTTTCTTCGTTTTTACAATATGCTTTTCAGCGTTGACGCATGAAGAAGATAGTCGTATTGTTTACCTTTTTGTAGTCGATTTCGATGTTAGAAAACATGTACGAGTCGTAGAAGTAAAAAGAGTCGATTTTTACCATCTATTTTCTTCGTTTTTACTTTACTTTGTACCTTAGCGCGTACTTTTAGATTATTCGTTATGGGTGTGAACCCGAATGCGACACGTGAACTAAAAATCTCAAAGTTATGAAGGAATATTTCATAGTAATCCATGTTACGCGCGTATGTAATGTTTCGCAACATAAAGAAGCATGTTGTACGACAATCTTTCGTTGGCATACAGCGTTGTATGAGACGAAACTAAGATTCGCAGGGAACGTGTTAAGCGGAGAAATATAATTAGAAATATAATTAGAGAGTATCAGCGATCTGATAAATTTGATTATCTTTGCTTCGTGACTCGTAAGGAAAATTTGATTGAATTTAATTCACGTCATTTAATCGTTGTAACATCAACTGCAATTGCATTCTCGCACTTAGGGGGTTATTACTATGGATATACGTCACTTAGCGAACATGTAACAATAGTAAAGTGCCGGCAGCGAACGTGAATTTGTAATTCAAATTGTCTCTTTCGTGCTCTGGCTGAGCAGTCGTGTGACGTGGAAAAGGTAAACAGCGCTGGTTGTCTGGTGAAAATGTACCTAAAGTGAGTTCTAATATAGTGAAATCCTTGATACTTTGTTTGCAACATAATGGAACAGCCGTGTAACCGAGTGCACTTGAAGCTTTTTGAAAATTTGGAACGTCCGAGCACGGAAGTCGTTTCGTGCACGAGTGGAAAATTTCGAATCCTTGAACGAAACCAAGAACCGTTTCATGTTTTTCAGCTGTACAACTTCCAACTAAGACTCAATTCCACTAAAAAGTTTCTAATACTTCAACGGAGTTAAGAATGCTTCGAAGAATTTCGTAATCCATAGCCATGTCGATGAAGAATTCCTTTGAACAAGGGAAGAAGATCGTCTTTTGATAATACGCGTTTGAATAATTAAATCTTTTGTCAGAAATTCGCCGCGAAGATGCCGCGTTTTCTTTTAGTTGTAATTTCGATCGCGTTTCTTTGTAATTCGCGATCCTATCAAAGTTAAGCCGCGTTATACAACAAATATCGATATCGTTAACGACAGCAACGTTCGAATTCTTTGGAACAACAACACTGGATTGGAAAATTCTGGCAAATTTACAGATCAGTGGTAATGGAAGGGATTGGTTATCCCCGGTTTCACCGATCGGCCAGCGTTTCATTTATGACAGTAGCCGCGCATCTGTCTGCACTGGATTTTTCGAATCGCGCGGTAGAAGCTCTTTACGAGGCTTTCGCTCGAACGGGCAATTATACTTTCGGCTACGAATGAAACGACCGCGTCAAACTGTCGGCTAGCGTCGAATTGGTTGCGTATGGCCAACGCTGAACGCCGATTTACTTGGCTGTTTTACGCGACTCCACGCATTCCAACTTAATTGGACAATTTAATGAAACGTTGGCCTCTGTCGATGCGAACAATACCTGAATTATAGCTTGTATCGTGTTAATTAAATTTTCTTACTCGCTCCACGTTTTTGACTTATCGCCGCCGTAAAATTGCCCCCGAGATGGACGATACTTTTCCATTAACATCGATGGATCAAAAGCTTTTTGATATGCATCGTTTATTTTCATTGGGAAAGAGCAATACCGATGTTCTCGAAATCAGCTGGATTAAACGTGTAGGTTCGTTTTTATGAAGAAACGAACGGATGAATTCGTAATAGTCAGTTGTATCAAAATCAGTATAAGTACAAGAGATAGTGTATAATCCTATAAACGTATAGTATAACAGATAAAAAGAAAGAAAGATAGTGTATAAATATAACAATAATCCTAGAGAGCATGTTTATACATTTGTATGGACGGATGTTACCGCAAACAGTAGTTAACCTTCTGATGTAATTTCGGCTGGGGGTTACGAGAATCGGCAATAACAAACTGTCTCGATTTCGTTTGTCTCTAGACCTTGCAAACCAAAACAGTCGTTAGTATATAAAGGCACAATAATATAGGCTAAATATAAATTTCCGTGGACTTTTTCTTGTGCCGCTACATCAGCCCAGTTTTTGTTTTCTTTTTAATTTTGTGTTTTGTTTCTTTTTATAGAGGTTGTCGCGTACATACGGTCGAACGACTTTGCTCGTTACGTCGCAAAATATTTTCATGTCGTGGTCGGACAAACGTACCTTTTTTCATGTGCCAGAATTGACGATTTCACTAAGTTGGTATCTTTTCTTTTTTATGTGACCGCGAGAATTCGCCGGTTTATGGATTTCCCTATCGTTTCGATGCGAGGTAAAGCATCGGCCACATTATCGTTTAGGCCTTTTATATATCGGATATCGGTTGTGAATTGCCCGATATAATCTACATGTCCGAATTGGCGCGGCGAACACTTGTCAAGATGTTGGTTAAACGCGTACGTGAAGGGTTTGTGGTCAGTAAAAATCACGTAATTTCTCCCTTCCACGGCAAGTAGTTCGCGATCGTATGAGCTGTATTTTGTAATATAGGGAGTCAGGGAATTTGTAACGAATCCCAGTGGTTGCCACGTGTTGTTCACACGCTGCTGCAGAACCGCTCCTATGACGTAATCGGACGCGTCTATCACGAGGCTGAACAGCTCGTCTGGTGCCGGATGCGCTAACATCGTGGCGTCAGTGAGGATGCGTTTCGACTCGCGGAAGGCGTTTTCGACTTGCTCCGACAACGTGAACGACCACGTTCGAGACGCCGCCGATTATTGAGGCTCAGCCTGGCGTGCACCGTGTCCTGGTCACGGTTTTGTCGTTCGCTGTCCGTGGCGTCCGTCGTGCTTACGTCCTTGTTGGTACTCGTCATTTTAACGCAACACGTTCACCTTTTTTTCGCTTTTGATCACGTCATGGTCACCAATTTGAGGCGTTTTAAACGTGTAGATATATTTAATAATGCAACGAGAGGATGAATTCGTAATAGTCAGTTGTATTATATCGACGAACGTTACGACAAGAAGTTAAAGGTTAAAGTTTTTATGTAACTCCGGCCGAAGGTTAGAAATAACGGCAATAACAATCTGTTCCGATTTCGTTTGCGTGTTTCGTTTCGACATTGTCAATCGAAACAATCGTTAGCATTCAAGGGCACAATAATATAGGTCTCTGTCAGATTCGAATTTTCCGTCTCTGTTTCTACTGTTTCTACGCTCATGTGCCGCTATGGTATAAATTCCAGCGACTGTCTGCGATGTTTGTCAGAGCGCGTATTGGTGTGGTCGCGAACAAGTGTGAAAGTGCTCTGGCCTAGTCATCAATTATGGACTCCGAAACAAATCCTACGTACGTGATACTTACCATCTTCGTTGTCACTTAATTAACGGTTTGTGTCATAAACAACTTTGTAGAAAGTCGCAAAAATTCACTAACTTCGTCAAGTTTCGCTGCTTCTCCGCCGAAAGTCCATTTCGATGTTTACGACATATTTCGTTTAATTCACATCGTAAGACCTAAAAACTTACCAACTTATCAACTTCGGCCGTTCGTCGCTTCTCAAGCGGGACCGAGAATCATCGAGTTACCACTTGGAGGCGCATACTTCGATAACACGAGCTGCGTCGTGTGAAGAGACTGGTTTAGCAATATCATTAGCGAAACGGAGTCGGAAATGGATCTCACAACGTTTTGGATTCTTGCCGAGCCGGATGATGTCGGAGGACTGGGTGGACTATCGACTCTGAAAGACGTTCTTAGAGCTCGAAGATGGAAACGGCAAATGGACACGGGTAAGGCTATTCCGCCGAACTAAACGGGAAGCAACCTCGGCAATCGAGCGTATGAATCCCGTTGCTTGGACGTTGTGTTAGATTGGCGCGTTAAAAAATTTGAAAATTCCAGTAAATCCGTCTTGAACGGATAAGAAGGACACGAAGCGGAAGAAGTGGCGAAGGTTTGGACGGCGAGACGGTACTAAAATTCTTCGTGCCTCGAGGGTCGTTCTTCGACGTTTGCAGTATGGCGTTGGCTCGCTCCTCAAGACCACCAGCTGTCTCCATAGGATGGAAACGAGTCTCCGGGGATCCATCGAGGCGGCTTGCCAACCAATGGAAAATATTTTCTCCTCTATCTATGTCGGGGAAAGTTTATCGTTCGTTACCAGCGAATGGTTCCACCCCGGACGTCGTTCGTTGGCACGGCTGCTTGGACGTTTGACGAGCTGTTTGTTGGTTTGATACTTCCCCGCCGGCGTCGTTGCTTCTCAAACCAGATGAAATAGCAACTTACGTATCTTTATAGGTTTGTATAGGAGTTAATCATTGTTCGCATTATGTAAATTTACTTCATTTTATTAAGGGTTAGCATAGCCTATCTACCTCAGCTATATTTTGACAAACGAGATGTATCTTTTTACAGAACGTACCGAGCTCCACAATTTATATCTCTGTAGGATCGTTTGTTAATATTTATTGTTGGTATTACGTTTTATTTCAAGGAAGAATATAAGTATCTTTCGAAACTGTAGGCTATTATCATCGGGATAACAGGGATGATATAAATCTTAAATATGTACTTCGTAGGATCCTATATTGTCAGCACAGGTTTCTGCTTTACTTGTAAATATCGCGATTTAAAACGGACGAGATTTAGACCATCGATTTCGTTTCTGGTTAAAAGTGTTTATAGACTTTCGCGAGGTCTGGTTCATCAAAGCATTTACACAGTTAATCTGTGTATTCCAGGAACGGAGCTTGCTGAGTGAGATCCGTGAATACATATAATAAACGTTGCGAACGCTACTTAGAGATTTCTGAAGGTTCGAATGCGTGGAAACTTCGATCGAATCGTTTGACCGAACGCAGTTTAATGATCAGTATTAATCACAGAAAAATAGTCATATGTACATTTTCATATATTTTCTATATTTAAATATTAGTACAAAATCTATTATTGCACACTGTTATTTATTTTATGTAGTCTTTCACAATGCACATAATTAGAAAATAATATACGTTAAAATAATACTTTGTAACATAAACATAATGCTTCTAATTATGTTGTGTGAAATGAATAAGTGTAAATATTAGAAGGTAATTATAATCTGATATGAAAGAAACACAGACGTGAACACAATTGAGGAAGGCCAATATGTCTACATATATATATATATATATATAGGTAGAATAATGATATTTTGTCTGTAAGGTTCGAAAACTTGGAAACTTTGATCGAATCGTTTGACAGAATGGAGTTTAACGGCACATATTAATCAGAGAGCTAGTCATATGTACATTTTCATATACTTTCTTTATTTAGATATTAAATAAATATAAATATAAATATTAAATATTTAAATATTAAAATAATATACGTTAAAATAATACTTTGTAACATAAACATAATGCTTCTAATTATGTTGTGTGAAATGAATAAGTGTAAATATTAGAAGGTAATTATAATCTGATATGAAAGAAACACAGACGTGAACACAATTGAGGAAGGCCAATATGTCTACATATATATATATATATATATAGGTAGAATAATGATATTTTGTCTGTAAGGTTCGAAAACTTGGAAACTTTGATCGAATCGTTTGACAGAATGGAGTTTAACGGTACGTACTAATCACAGAGCTAGTCATATGTACATTTTCATATTACTTTCTTTATTTAGATATTAGTACAAAATCTGTTATCGCGCACTGTTATTTATTTTATATAGCTTTTTACAATGCACATAATTAGAAAATAATATACGTTAAAATAATACTTTGTAACATAAATATGGTGCTTCTAATTATGTTGTGTGAAATGAATAAGTGTAAATATTAGAAGGTAATTATAATCTGATATGAAAGAAACACAGACGTGAACACAATTGAGGAAGGCCAATATGTCTACATATATATATATATATATATAGGTAGAATAATGATATTTTGTCTGTAAGGTTCGAAAACTTGGAAACTTTGATCGAATCGTTTGACAGAATGGAGTTTAACGGCACATATTAATCAGAGAGCTAGTCATATGTACATTTTCATATACTTTCTTTATTTAGATATTAAATAAATATAAATATAAATATTAAATATTTAAATATTAAAATAATATACGTTAAAATAATACTTTGTAACATAAACATAATGCTTCTAATTATGTTGTGTGAAATGAATAAGTGTAAATATTAGAAAGCAATTATAATCTGATATAAAAGAAAGAAAGAAAGAAATGAACACAATTGAGGAAAAACAATATGTCTACATATATATATATAAGTAGAATAATGATATTTTGCCTGTAAGAACATATGCTGATTTATCATTTCACACAACTAGTACTTCGTAATTTGTAGAATTATATGTCGATCGAAGTAAATTACTTACTAAATGGGTAGCTTTCAGAGTTAAAACCACGTAACGAAGTATAGGCAGGGTTTATTGTCACAGGTTTATTGTCGCGATCTTTGCTACACTTATGTCGTTGCGAACTGCATTTTTAACGGTACCTTTCTGTTCCCCCGCTTCTTTTAGATTTTCGGGTTTTGCGTTGGGAACATTTTTCTTCCAACTTCGCAACGGGCTTCGTAACTTTAAAGTCGTAATTTTCAAATCGCCGCACTCGCTTATCATTTTTTGACTGCTCGACGCGATGAGCTGCATTGATGAGCTGGTCAAAAGAAGTTATCGAGTTTCTGGAAACATTCTTCTGAATCTGTGACTTCAATAACAAATAAATTATGTCGATCTGCACTCTTTTGGGTGAGGCCGAGGAAGTTCGGCGAAAAGAGCTTGTTTTTGCGTGATAAATATTTCGGTTGAAATATACGCATCCTTTTTTACAGTCGATTTTTTACGGTCGAATGTAAGGTTTCTTTATAGGCCGAAGGTTTTCCTGGCAAAAATGTTTCTTGTAACATTCTTGAAGCTTCTAACTATACGTAAACGTCCTCTTTCACTTCGGCGCACCATGTAGCGGCTTCCTCTTCCAGTAAAAGAGATAGTTCGTGCAGAGCTGTTTCATCGTTGATTCCCTCGACATCCTTGAAGTAGTTTCTGATTCCTTTTGTTATACAGGAACTGCTCGATTTGTAAGTGGTTGATATTTCGTTGACAGCTACCATAGTTCCAATTTTTTATGCAGGAAATGTCCTTTATATACGTTTCCTTTCTCCGAAACTTCGTCGGTCAATTAAAAATTTGTGCGAACCCTAATTGAACCTTCTGTAGGCTGTTCGATTCGTTTAGATACTAGTGCAAGTACGTTCTTTGATTTGTACGTTGACGACAGTTAACAGGAAAATATTCGGACATTAGCATTATTTTCATTTGTACGTTTTGTT